CTCTTATCTGCTTACTTTGAGTGGTCCTGGCTCTCACCCTTGTGTCGCCTTGACAACGGGCAAACGGATGCGGCCTTTCGACATCATCGTTCAACACTAAGCACTTCTACGTACAGCTTGTTTCTACGCTACGAGGCCAGATGCTTCGCTGCCTTCTTCGGACGACGTATCGTCGCCCGAATCAGACCAGGCATCGTAGTCCGAGATGTACATTCTTTGGAGATCACGCCAAGACTTCAAGTCCTGATGTGTATCATCGTCTTGGCCTGTCGCGCGCCGGCGCAGGAGGCTTTTGAGTTCTGCGTTGAGACTTTCTCGATTATCTGCCCCTTTTGCCGTGATATGATGCAAAAGCTCTTCGGCAACCATAGGATCCCCTTCGTCTAAAGCAATATACAGCGGGGTCTTGCCATCATTGTTTTCCATGTCTGCGAGAGCTCCATGCTGAAGTAAGACGTGGATCAGGTCACTCACTGGCCCCTTGTCGTCGTCGTAAACACCCCCCCATAATTGCGCGGCAAAATGCAATGCAGTCTCTCCTTTTTTGTTACGAATCTGAGTCAAAGAGATGCCTCCGGACAGACTACAATTTGTCGGGTGCTCGAGAAGAAACTCGACGACTCGGAGATTCGTAGACCGAAAATGGCACCGCTCTTTGCCATGATAGGGGTCGAATACAGATAGATGCAAGGGTGTATTTCCATCTTCATCGGCTGCGTTCAGTGTGGCACCATAATCGAGCAACGTGCAGCAGATCTCAATGGATCCCGTGCAAACGGCACAGTGTAAAGCCGTTCTCCCGACCCAATCCCCCATACGAATGAAGGAGATAGTTGTCTCGGAGCCGTGCATCTCAGCACAGTGCTCTACTAGTAGACGGATGGCAGCTCTCGAGTGTTCCACTTCATAAAAAACATTCGCCGCGCAATGCAAGGATGTCTCGCCGTACTCATTCCTGCTGTCAACGAGCGCACCATATTCAAGCAAGATACAAGCAACATCGACCCGTCCACGTTTCACCGCCATGTGGAGAGGGGTATCACTAGATTCATCAGCCGTCAAGTGGACTGAGGCGCCACACTCGAGCAGAAGGCGCAAACAGCTCTTGTCTTCATTGCATTCGTATACGGCCGTATGCAACGGTGTGCGGTAAGAATCGTCAACATCATCTACCTGTGCACCGTGCTCAAGCAAGATGCGAGCAATGTCAGTCCTTCCACATCGTGCGGCTTCGTGTAATGGAGTCGCCCGAAAATCGTCGCGGAATCTCGCGATCATGCGGGTGTCGTGCCCTTCGATGCCAGGTAACTCGAGTATCTTCTTCACGTTGCCACAGAGTCCTAATGAGATTGACTTTCCGAACGCGGTCTGCCAGTGCGAAAGTGACCAGTAGTTTGTATGTGAGTCGGGCCACTGTTGCTGAACACCCAGTAGTCCATTGTGCTCCATCCAGCGCTTGCAAGGGGCAGAGTTGATGTGAAGAAAACGGTACAGAAGGTCTTCATATATCTGTTCGTTTTGCGGAGAGACATGCTGGTCCCAGTATTTATCCGCATAGGCATAGAACGACGAGACCGAGAGGTCAGTGTGTATGAGATGCAGAAGACATACTCGTGCCAAAGTGATCTCGGCGTCAGCAGGAGTGAGCCTGTAGCCACTAGACGCGGAAGCTTGAGCCATAAGATATTCCTTGACTGAGAAATGTATAAACTGGACCACCCGCTTCTGACCATGAGCCCACCAATTGGCGTCCACAATACTGAAGAGGCTAGGACATTTCATGTCTTCTCGTAGAAATCGCTCTGGATCATCTATATGTGCCGTTGAATCCTTGCTAAAGGGGATCTTAGCATCGGGATCCAAATCTGTATAGAAGATCTCGACAACTTCCTTCGGGGACAAAGGGCGCTTAGCACAGGCGACGCACTCGAGAATACGACAAGCGCGTTCGATCATGACAGGGCTTGAAGAGGAATTACGTAAAATTCGCTCGTATGTTTGATCGAGGCCGGATGGCAGCTCAGACAGGGCACGCTTTACATCATGCGGAGAGCAATTCTTCAAATCGCGAAGCTGTAGTTCGATCCACAGGAACCTGCACAGTTCTCTCAGTAAGCGCGCGGCAGGGAAGGAAAAGAAGCTTACATTCCCTGTGACTTCTCCATCAACACACGTTCAGCCAAATATTTGGTGAACAAGGGCCAGTTGTACAAGACTCGATCAGACAGTCTACGTTTGATGTAATGTCTCAACTCCTGCATATGGCTCGGGGTAGCATGAAGAGCAAGGGAGTGCGCGGCAAGGGGAGAAAGGCGCCGTCCTATGTCTCTTTCGGGGCGGCTCGTAATGAGAAGGTGCAGGTCAACCGAGTCAACCGGACTCGCAAGCGTTTTAAAAAACATGGCCATCTCCTTGTCCCGAGCCGATTCAGGGCACTCATCAAACGCATCGATGACGACAAAAGTCCGTCCGGAGAGGCGCAGTAACTGTGACAGCATATCCAGAAGGTCCTCGTAAGAGGGGAAATCAGTCGAGCGGCGCTTTAAGAGGTAGTCGAGAGACTGGGCAGAGCTTGATGCCAATTGCAGAACCAAGGAAGAAACAAGTGCGCGGCAATCCTGTTTCTTGACATCGCTGAACTCAAAGTAGAAATAGACCAGAAAGAGTGTGTCATCCGCCTTGAGAGTGTCGATGATAGAGGAGCTAGGTCAATCTTAGACGATCTGTGCAAGAAGGTTAAGCGGCAAGACGACGTACCTGAGCACACTCTTCCCAGCACCGGCTGCGACGCAGAGTCAGATTTCATAAGGCATCGGAAAGATGATACAACGGACCGTTGCCATGGACCCAATATATGCTGTTCTGCTGTTGCTTCCATTTCTCAAACCTTTCGTCGAAGAACCACTTGCAACTCCCAACTTCCCGTTTATTCGCGTAATTCAATGGCTGATGGTTCTTGGGCGCATTCAGCCATGAGCGTAGCTCCTTAGCGACTATGATAAAGAGTGAGACGAGCGGATTCAAAAGTGGCTTGACAGTACGCGCGCACCGGTGCTGTCGTAGATGAACTTAACCCTCGGTTGGACTACGAGATGGCATGTTATATCTCGGGATTGCGTTTGAGGCAAGATGCAACTGACATTCTCGCGCAATGGTAGCGGTACACGTGGTAGTGACTTGCATCTCCCGGACGATCGAATTGGTATGCGCAGTCGTCATCCGCAACTCCGCCTTCGCGAGTTCTTCATGCTTCATAAGCGCATCCTTAACGTCAACCTTGCCGACCATCACTCGAAAGTAATCCCCTTTTTGATTGATCAGATCATGGACTGTATTTGAATTGGTGCTACTCTTACCCGCACGCAAGGTGAATGTATCTTTGGCTTTCTTTATCACTGAGTTCCTCTCGATGGCTCTGTTGCAGTACTTGGTGACGATGCCGATGAAGTTCAGGATTTGGACAAGCGTATCAAGGAGGATGCGCATGACCTCGGGAGCGGGTTGAACTGAGGATTCCAGGTGAATGTGCATGCGGTCGGCGTAATCCTTGATTATCTGGGAGAATGACTCGATCGTGTCGTAGAGTTCGCTGACGCCTTTCGTGGCCTGGATGATGTCAGCGCGAGGAACCTGTGGCGTCCTGTAGTGCGAATCACCTGAAGCAATGCTCCGATCGCAACGAAGATGGCCTTCCCACCCGGTGCAGCCGACTACTAGATCGTCAGTGTGTGCTCTTCTGCAAGAAATCGCGAGGTAGACGCACAGATCCTGCCTCTGCGCCAGCATCGATGAACCGGAGCACGACAGCTACGATGGGCTTCAACACCACCCGGAACTTGCGTCCGCGGTTGCGAAAGGTCTTGAAGTCAGCGAACTGCGCCATGACGTCGTCCGTGCTCGATCGAGACAGGATGTTGGCGGCGAAGGAGTGCTTGAGTAGTTCGCGTCCGGTCTCCTTGCGATAATTCTCTAGGGCTTGAGTCCAACGTTCTTCCACTTCATTCTGGGAAGGTCCTTCATCTGAGGGACTGCTTGCTTGAGTGATGGGGGCAGACATGAATGGAGAGGTGGTAGTGGCAAACGGGATGGGTTTCCGGGGACAGCTGAAGATACTTATACCTCCCAAGGATCCCCTTGCTCGGGCACGTTCATCGTGTGAAGAGGTGGCTTATTGAGCCGGGATTGGAAGGGACATGAGGCCTTGGCTATGCAATCGGATAAGCGCGCTTTAGCTAAGAAATGCCTCGAAATATTATGTTCACTCGTGTTGCGAGAAGTGTGGGCCTCAAGTCACGCAACAGCGAGGACTGCTGGCTGAGCACAACACGAGTAATTTAACATGAAATGTGAAAGTGAGCTCTAGAGAGCGGAAAGACGGAAGAAGCACAGGTCGACCGCGACCACATCCTATGAGTAAGCTTCTTCGTGCACCGCACACACGACGGCTATCTGACAGGTTCTCTGCTTCGAAACATGCGGGAACAGCGACCCCCAGGCCCGAAGACGCGCCGCATACTCATGTGCGCATGCGAAGCTGTCGTGATGCAGAGAGATAGAGTCGACTGTCCGCGCCACTGGTGCCGACGAGGGCGTAGGGGTCGGGCTTGGATTCCGACTGTCGGTCGGAAATAATACATGTCATCCTACCCACCCGGGGGCCACTATGTACACGCCTGGTGGCCACTTCATCTGCAGGCAGTAGGTCGAGCGAAGGCGTAGAAGAGTGCCCGCCAGTCGCTACCCAAGCTGATGGCGGGTAAGAGCAAGACGCGTCAGGTAACGGAAACGGCGCGAACCGTCAGGCACGCCCTCGCGTGGATGTCGTGCGAAAAGCGCAATTGCCTCATCGCGAGCGAAACTGCCTCAGCGTCTTCCCTTCCCCATGAATCGACCCTCGCCCCTGCCAAACGAGCCCGGACCCTCCTTCAGACCTCCTGGGGTCTTACTTTGCCGACATATAATGCGACATGGCAGAGTGAGAGCGCAGTACTCTGGAAACTCGGTCAAATCTACACCACCACCGGCGACACGCCCTCTACGCCTGGCCTCATCCGATCTTGCTGGATATATCGGACACTCAAGTAACACAAGGACGATGGAACTAAGCCGAAGCAAATGTGGAGTAAATGGTGGAAAATACCCAAGGCGGCCTGGAGGAGACAGGAGGAAGGATCGGCAAGGCGGATACTAGGGCTATAAGTACGTGTTTGTCGTCGCTCTCTTGCGCTGATCCATCTAGTGCAGGCTCTAAGTGCGCCGCACCATATACTCAAGCATCGAGCAGGGGAAAGTGAGAGGCCTGTGCCCTCGCGAAGCTGGATCCTGCTCGACCTCACCCTCAACCCATGGCCGCTGGCATCACGTCGACGTCCCATTCGGGCCATTACCCTCTCGAAAAACTCTTTCGGTCTCTCAGACTCCTGGCATCTCTGGCGTTTACGCTGCGACACCGCGGTTCCTCGGCGTCCCGCTCGCTGATCTCACCGCCCACCCTCTTCCAACGGTACCCCTGGTCGCCGACGGCCTCAACGACAACCGGCGGCCCTTCTGCATCGCCTATGTGCTTCGCAACGGCGCCCGCTCTGGCTCGGAGAACGCTTCCCTCGGCGACCTGGCTGCGGCCCACACGGACTCACTCGGCCCGACACTCACGTGGCGAACTCGGGGAACCGCTTCGCACGCTTTCTCGGCTCGCCTCCTCCGCCTCCCTTGCGACCGCCCTTTGACTTCAGGCTTCAAGGCTTGGTGCTCTGCTTTCACCAGGAACTTACTATTTCTTCAATACTGCACGAACTACAATGCATTCGCTGGCTCTGACGATTCTGACGCTGGCGCTCGGCGCACAAGCCCATTCCAATGGCATGGATATGAGCATGTACGTCCTCCATCGCCTCCCGTCCATTCACAATATCCTGACCGATGCATTCGTCTATAGGGACAGCGGCGCAAGCGTCTCAATGGGCAACATGATCATGTACCTCCACTTCACGCCCGGCGACAATCTCTGGTTCTATGGCTGGGCGCCGCGCACAGCAGGCGCCATGGGCGGAACTTGTGTCGCGCTATTCATGCTTGCACTCGTGGAGAGGTGGCTGTCTGCGCTCAAGGCATGTGCGGAAATGCACTGGCACCAACGGTACGTTCGCACCACGTTGTTTGTAATGCATATGGATTCTGATAAGACATGTAGCGCGTTGATTGAGATGGCTAACCGCGCGAACAAGAGGACAACGCTCGGCCAGCCTCAACCTACACCATCTAAGCTCTCTCGCACTTCACTACCCTTTGTCGCCGCGCACGACCTCCCGCGCGGCCTTATCACATCCATACTCGCCCTGCTCGGCTTTCTGTTCATGTTGGCTGTCATGTACGTCTTGACTCGCCCTTATGCCCTTCAGTACGGATGCTGACTGATATGATTCTTCGATAGGACGTATCAGGTCGGATTCATACTGTCCATCGTTATTGGACTGGGCGTCGGTGAGGCGCTTTTCGGGAGGTACACGAGGGGGACGGCTCATACACTTCATTGATATTGTCTACGTACATACCGCCTCCCTGTACTACCCGTTGTATACTTAGTTATGTCATCACGATTGGAAAGAACCTCCTGCGAACGAATGCAAGGATAACTGAGCGGCATCGAGAGGTGCATGGTGCGATCGCACGGCTTGCCTCCGACCGCCATGAAGGCTTGCGCTACCCACCTTTCCTTGATGGAGAGACCGCTGAACACGATGCATCACACTTCCACGATATGAATGGCCTGTTCGTGGACTCCTTATCCTCGTATCAGATACTCCTACAATCTAGCGTCCGATCCTCTCTTGCTTGTATAGCGTATTCGGCCTTTCGACCACTCCTGGAACAGCAACCTGGCCCGAGCTCGCTATAGCCCTATCGACGCCTCGCGACCTGCTATGACACTGATGGCATGATCTCACGCCAGGTCTGAGTGTGCCTACGAGAACAAGCCGTGGGCAAGTCCAAAAGCGAACAAGGCGGTGGTCACTGGCCGAGGGTCTGCACCGTCGATAGAGGCGCTAGTAGGAAACAAGGACACATCCGTACGCTCATAATACGCATACCTCTGTGACGAGCATCCTCACTGAATCCTTCTCTCTAGCTCACGAGGAACAGACGGCGTATGCAATGCCTCCTCATTCATACCCATGCCCCGCGCCCTTTCCCGCGTACGCGCGTGCGCCCGCTCAAGCGCGAGCCATGCCGACTCCAGCAGGACCGCACTACCACTACTACGCGCCCGGTGGCCCCGTCACGCACAACAACCACTACTATGCTGCGCCGGCGCAGTATGCTCCATGTTCTCAGCCGTATCCTTCGACCTCGGAAGAGTTCCAGTACAGAGTGTACCGGGATGGCTTTTCGACGCCGAGGGATGGGATCTCGTCTTCGCCGGATCACTCGTGTGTTCAGCCTCTGAATCCGGCTCGCCGCTCAGGATCGCTCACGCCGGACGATATGCATGAGTCGTCGCAACCGATCCACACTAGACCGCGCCGGCGCCAGTACCAGGTCCCTTCTGCTCCCCCGACTTCGGTCACTTCAGTTTTCCAGCCGGAGGATGCGCCGAACAAGTCGGCGAAGGAGATACATCATGCTCTATACCGTGTACCCGTCAGATACAATACGGACACTGGTATCTCCATCACCGATACAGCCGATGCCGGGGAGCAGTCTACGCGCTTTCTGTCCCGCCTCGATGTACGTCCCGAAGCACCCGTGGCCCATGAACATGTATCGAACGTCATGCCGGACATGACGGCGGACAACGCACAGCCATCACAACCAGCGGGGGACGCTCGGGGCGCGCCATCGCCCGTACCCCGAATTGTGATCCAGGCGGCCACAGACCCGAGCTCGCCGCCCTCTCCCGCTAGTACTTCTGCGTCATCCTCGCCCTGGTCCCCGCCCGCTTCTGCGCAATCATCGCCCGATACGGTGTACTCTGCACCACTGCATGATCTGCGTTCGACCACTTCGCTAGTCGAGCCTCCCGTGGGCGAGCTCGCGAGCAGGATATTGTCGCAGGTGAACGAGCGTGCTGGTATGGGCACCAGTGGGAGTGCAGGTTCGCGGACGGTCGCTGGTGACTCGTCTCCTTCCTCGAGCACACTGGTATCTATCAATGAGGGCGCAGCCGAAGGAGATGTAGAAGAGGAAGAGGCAGAAGAGATCAACGGCAACGACCCTGCCGAGCCTCTCTCGCTAACATACGCCAACAATCGACCATTCACCATCCCCGTGCACCCCTTCAGCGAATTGAAGTCCTACTCCACTCCCCGCGAGTATCTCGACAACATCTTCGCTCTCCGCCGCGCCTTCGACTCAACTCACGGCCTCCCCTCGCATCCCGCTATCGATATTCACACGTTCGACGCGCACGCCGCTCTCGCGCTTGAATGTCGCTTGAGTCAGGACGCGCAAATGGCGAGGGAGTTGAGCGAGGTCAGAGGGAGAATCGTGTATATGGCTAAGATGGAAGGTGGTGGAGAGAGGATGTGGAGATTGGAGAAGGTTCAGAGGATGTTGGAGAAGTGGAGGGAGAGGTTGCGTGAGGTTGCGCGGTGGAAGTACGCTATCGCGTCTGCGTCTGTTGACGAAGCTTAGAGCTGATGTATTGTCGCGGGTCCGACATTGCTATTCTATCGTCACATAGCGTGCTCTACGTAGTAATATTTTATGAAGCTACTTGATGCCCCTACGTACTCGCCCTCTACCGTCCACCGGTTGTCGCGCGGCGCCAGGGCTAAACGCTCGGGCGCGTCTTGATTGACGTGTGACGGATGTGACCGTTCGCGTTTTGACGCGTCTACGGAAGGGGCGGCGAGCTGACGTTCTCTCCTTCCACCACCATGACACGCCGTATCTTCCGGTCAATACCTCAGGCCATAATGCCCTTCAATCTGCTCATATACAATAAAGTCTGTGTGAATGGCTTGTTTGGAGTGCTTCGCAAGAACTTCGCGCCCATCAGCCGCGTTATGGCAGTGACAGCCCGTTCTCTTCGGCCTGTCGACGCGTGGCGTTCATTAGGACTAGAACGTGCGTCTCGTTCGGAGTTTGCAGTGAATTTAAGATACGGTTGTGGAGAGTGACAAATAGCCGGTACGCACTTCCAGCATGCAACTAAGTGTAGCATATCTGATGCATCTTGCAGCGTCTCGGATGGTACAGAAAAGCGTTTGGCGGATGCCCATCCACCGCTCTCGTGAACCCTGCGACTCTCTGCGGCACGACGTGAGTGAGCCGCGGCTATACCAGTTTGCCAGAGACGCCGTCCTTACCGTACGTCAATTGCCGAGCGGTCATCATGAATAACTTCTCAATGGCGCCTAGGTCTTTAGGCAAGCTGATTGGCGTTCTACGCCTTCTCCTGTCAAGCTATTGATCACCGGGCCCGACTGCGATTGCGAAATGAACGGCCGGCCGGCCTTCCATCTGCTCACTGATGGCCTGACGGCTTGACAGGCAGTGAAGAGATCTCATCATGCTCTTTGCAGTCCTGGAAAGCCTCGCGGTACATAGGAGGGACACGGCGCGGCGAGACAGGGCATCTTCCGAAGATAATGTCGCCCGTGACCGCTATCCTCATTGCACTCGCTTTCGCGCTCTTTTTGCGTCTTGCACATGCTGCCTACTCTCGATGTGTCAAGAATCTTGCTTTGCGCAACATCCGTGGACCATCTAGAGCTTCTTTCTTAACAGGTGAATCCCTGTTCTATAGACATGTCTCGTCATAATCATACGCTAACGGCTACGACAGGGAACTTAGCTCAATTGAACAATACCGATGGCTTGAGCTTCTTGAATAATCTACTCAGTGAATACGGTCCTGTATCGAAGCTTCATGGTCTCTGTGGCGTGAGCTTGGCCGTTCCTCAGCTTGAGTCTGCTCGTTGATTGCATTCTCGCAGGATACCGTGCTCTGTACATCCGACCCTCGCGCGCTCTCGCATATCTTACTTATAGAACCGGACAACTTCCCAGAGATTGACTTCACCGGGACGACGCAGTGGGTGACAAATCATAACGGGTTGAACTCTGACTGATACCTTTCTAGAGTTCTCCAGTACATGTTCGGGCCCGGCCTGGTCACGACGAATGGTGAGTGCTGACTATAAGGGGGCTGATCTTCATCTGAAGCGCAATGCCACAGGTGCACGCCATCGTCAGTGAGTATACAGGCATCTTGTCCTCTACAACGTGCTGAAGGTCTTATTACAGACAACGCAAGTTGCTCAACCCTCTGTTCTCAACGACACACATGCGCCACATCTCGCCTCTGGTCAACCTCATCACCAAGCAGGTATATTATGACACGTCACCCACAGATACGTATGCTGATCGGGGATGCCATAGTATCGAGACCACCTCACTGGTCAGACTCTGACAGGCGGCGCATGCGTCGATGTGGCACCCGGACTCGCGCGCCTGGCACTCGAAGTCATCGGCCAGTGCGGATTCGGACATACATTCAATGCTCTTCACGGAGGAGCGTCCGAGTACATCCGCGCTGCGAAGGAGATCCTGTGCGTACCGATTGGACTGGCGTGTATACCCAAAGCTGATGAACCTACCAGTCCGTCTACCACAGCCCTGGCTCCGCTCATCGTCATCATCGTAGCATCTGGCCTGTCTAGACTACCACCCTCTCTGCTTCGGCTCGTCGGTGGCGCGCTTGCATGCGTTCTTCCGCCCTTGAAGAGTCTCATGTCCGGTGTCGACACACTCTACTCAACTGCGCGAGGCATCTGGGAAGCAAAGAAGGCCGCGCTCGCTGCGGGAGATGCCGTTCTAAAGGAGTCAGTCGCCCAAGGAGGGGATCTTCTAGGGGTTCTACGTGAGTTTGCACGCATCTGTAAAGCATTGACTATCTCTCACAGCGACCTAGTGATGGAAAACACCGTAGCAGATGGCGCCAATAGATTGTCCGATGATGAGCTGCTGGCTCAGTTGAAGTCTGTCTATTCCATTTTGACTGGGATTCGTGCTCACGTTGGTGTAGCACTCTCATCGTAGCTGGCGCCGAGAGCACATCGACGGTCTTATGTCGCATTCTTTACCAACTAGCGTGCCATCCGGAGACCCAGGAGCGATTACGTACCGAGCTCATCTCTCCGGGCGAGGATCTGGAGTACGATATCTTGATGAATCTGCCCCTTCTCGACGCGGTCTGTAGTGAGACTATGCGTCAACATACGTTCTTCCCGTTTCGCAGTCGCTTGTGAGTCCACATATGCATCTTTGACGAACATCAGCCCATGACATTCCACCGCAGGACTTCGAAAGCATCTGTCATCCCGTTTACCAATGGAGATGTTGTCCGCGTCCCTGCTGGTACAGAGGTCATAATGAACTGCCATGGTCTCAATACGGACCCTTCCATCTGGGGAGCTGATGCGCAAGATTGGAAGCCGGACCGCTGGCTTGGACCGCTACCTGAGAGTGTCGCAGCGGCGAAGATCCCGGGGATATACCGCCACTCGTACGTCGCTTCTAGTGATACCTCCAAGGAGACATATCTCACCCATGCAAATCAGGATGGCATTTTTAGGCGGCCCCAAGTCGTGCATGTACGCCGCGATCTCATCTCACCCTGCAAGCGATCAAGACTTACTCTTCAATTCACAGCGGCTATACTCTCGCCATACTTGAACTTAGTACGTCCAACCGGAGATCATACGCGCCAGCATCGTACTGACCCTGAGGTATTTCGTAGAGACCGCTCTTGCGGTGCTTTTACCTATGTTTCGCTTCGACCTTCCTCAGCACCATGAGATCGTCTGGCGCTTCGGAATCACGATCTCCCCGAGCGTCAAGGGCGACGAAAGCTTCAACCCCACTATGCCGTTACTGGTCGAACGCTTGGATACCTTGAACTGAGTTCTACGCTCATATTGCTGTGCTAGATCGTACTAGGACGCGATCGTTTGTAGACTTGATATACCAATCGTGACGACAGAGTTCTAATCACCTCGCTCCGGAGGACGTCCATTAACTTCGCAAAACATCTTTTCGCCACCGAGATACCCGCTTCAACTCGCCGCGCTGAGATGAACAACCACTACCTACCGACAAGATGGTGGTTAGCGTATATCGACAGCGCCTAATATCGTTCAAGTGGAATGGACCTTCGTACACTGACGCTTTCTGCGACACTTCAGACGGCCGACTCGGCCGACTCTCAGAGAAGCCCGGCGCTCTTCATCAGCTATCAGAGACCAACCTGCGAAGGCATCTAGAAGCTGTCGATGAGACTGAGTGTGAACAATGAGAGAGACCTGGTGGACGGAGTATCACAACTTGTTCACAACACGTCGGTCCAAGATGGCCGATCTCCGGACCGACCGAAAGATGCCGACAGGACCGACGAGCGCCTCCATTCTCTGTTTCCACGACCGCGACGTAGGACTCAGGGGGAAGTACATAGGTCCACGGACCTTCTGCATCCCGCTTGCGCTGCACGCGGTCGACATGAGGTAAGGTGGGTTTGTGTAGAAGCGACAGGCGTGCCGGTGGTGTCTACGACATTACGAGACAACCAAATACGAGTTCAGACGCTGGGCTCTCTATTTGAGCCGGGAGAGCTGGTGATATACGTCACGCCCATTGCTAGCTCTGCATAGGTGAAGAGGTAAATGCAATCTGAAGGCGTGGCGATGAGCCTAAGCATGCCCGAAATGGTATTGGATAACATCCGTGTTCATAGCCCAGAATATAACATGATGATGCTAAAGGTATAGCGCTCAAGTTGTGCGAGTGGGATACGTCGAATTATATGATGAGCGTAGAATGAGAACGAATGTGTGATACGGAATGGCCGGCTCAGTGTACTGACGCGGAGCGATCTATCGCGTACGCCCACCGCCGCGAGCAGCTTCAGACGGTCGTATTGATCGACTCTTGATCATCCTGAAGGTCGAAGACATTCGTTCAGTATAGATGGAGACGTAGAGCGAGGGATATGCCAGAGCACGTACCGCGATGCCAGGTCTCTTGTCGTCTCGCCCAACCGTGCGGTCAATCTGCACGACCACACCTGTAGAGGCCCCAGGTGTCGCTGTTGGGTGAGCAACTGCGAACATACCGCCTGTGGAGACATAGCCCAGCTCGTACGACGGATTTGATTCACCGGCACGCCTAATGGCGTTGCGGACGTTCAGTGTTGCCAGGAGACTGTTACTGTAAAACCTGCGCACGATGAGTGTCATGCTTGATGGGGAGGTCGGACCAAGATGCTTACCGAGCGAGGAAGTAGTAAAACAGGATGTAGATCTGCGTCTGCGGCCATACCGACGCGGAGATGATGACCCACAGGGCGGTGATGGACGTGAGCGCGCCTGTATTCACGCAAAGAACCATCTGCACAGCGACCGGAAGTCAGGCCCGCGCTGGAGGACAGTGTCTGGACACGTACCAAACGTCCGAGGATACCGTCCGTCTTCTCAAACCCAGTCCTCCGATGCCGCAGATACCACACCATACAGAAGGCGATGACAACGTCTGTGCCTGCGGAGAGAGCGTTGACGGTGGTCTGGAGATACTGGACGGCGGGGATATCGGACAACATTTTGAGACCAAGGCTATAGGGGAGAACGGTCAGGGGCGAGGAGCGAAGCGCTAAGCATCCATGTACGAACACAATCTTGAACCAGTACATGGTAGTGCAGAACGTCGCCAGGGTGAGTATAGAGACAAAGGTGGGGAGATAATAACCCTGGCTCACTGCCAATGGCATGCGTCAGAGATGGAAGTCATCGCAGCAGAGGTCCACGCACATTGCCACAAACGCCAGACGTAGAAGCTTTGCACCGTGAATGTGATCAGACCGAGGGTGAAGACACCAGCCTGGACGCCTCGTAAGCCAGGCTAGCGACGTTATATCCAGTACGACGTACCCTGAGGCTCCACCAGGCTTCAAGTAGAGCAGCAGGATTCTGCACGAGCGATTAGCTTGGCGAGGCGCATAAAGTCTAGAGACCTGAGCACATACGTCCCAGTTGGCGATCTCGTACATGTAACCTATCATGTTCTGTGAATACCAAAAGATATCTGAATGCTAGGACGGCTCACCATTATGCTCGATGCATATTTGATGGAAGAGGTCGAGGAAGACGGTCCAGCCGACGAGCACCTTGAAGTACCATTGATCGCGCTGGTAATGCGTGTAGTAGAACACCGCTTGGGCTGTCGTCACTATACCAGAGTAAACCTCGATATGAGTGTCCAGATTTGAACGAAACTCACATCCAAACAAACTGCAGGGGTCGGCTCAGCGCGCTATTGTGTTGGCACAGTTAAGACAAATGCTTACAATCCGGCAGCGGAAACGCCGATGTGCATGGCGCTAACGAGTGCGTACGATGAGCTGTTATTGTTCAGACATACCCGGGAAACGGGCACCTCACCCGAGGGTCGAGTTTACGTCGATGGACATGATGGACAAAACGACGGGCGGGCGGGAGGACATCATGAGCGGCGAACTACTTTAAGGCAGCTTGAGCCACCTCGATGTCTACCCGAGACGAGGGAGCATTTGCCATGCGCCACAATAAGACTGAGACACAGTAAAGTTGTAGAGAGCCGCAGCTCGTGCCGACTTGGTCGGTCAATGCAGACTGGTTGCGAGTGCTACCCTGCGCATCGGGTGGAGAATGGCGGGCTTTGAATCCATTTGACGTGTGCCTATGTACAGGGTGCCTACCGGACCGTCCACGACGGTGCGCTGATGATGGGCTCTGGCAAGCCTTAAACCGGAACCGTATGGCGGGTTTCAATTAGCCCGTGAATAGGAGACGGCTCTCACGACTGTCTGCTTTCAAGTGCATATGCACGGGCACCCGCAACCTTCTCGAGGTCAGACATGATGCGCACTACAAGTCGCATTGAAGACTTGCAGCGTGCCGAGAGCCAGTTGGCGCGGATGGATGGAGGATGGAGGAAATAGGCGGAGCCCGAAGCCGGCGCGTCGTGGCCGAGGGCTCGCCACGCGCGCTCACGCGCCTCGGCATGTCTCAGATTTTGCCTTCGACCATCACATCACCAGCCACACAAAGGATAGCTGGCCACCAGTCTACTTCTATCTATCTTAGGCACCTTTAGCGTCTGGAAATGTGCATAGCTGCGCCAAGGCTGTCGAGCGGGGCGCCCTCGAAGATTTCGACTCCCTGTAGACTCGACGCGTTCAGCCTGCGCTCTACCTGTCAAGCCTCAAGATCTCCCGGAAGCGCTCGTTCCTGTTCTCGTGCAACAATCTCCCGGCTTTAGGCAGGCCTTTAGTTCGGATGGTCCATGGACCTGTCCGTAGTCGGTGGGACTCGGACTTCATCGCAGCAAGATACGCGTCCTTGGGAGCTGAGTACCTCGGGCTGGCTTGTTGAGTGATTCATCGAATATATCTCGTTCTGAGATGAAGGAACTCATGGGCTTTGAACATCAGGTCCTAATCCGGTACAAGCATGGCGATGCACCGCCGCTGTGGGGACCAAGACGATCCTTGAGTAGTTGGATGCCGCACTTACATTGGCCATCTCAATTCCGGCATCTCTCTGGACCTATCCGACGCCCTGCATACCGTATCCGACGACCGGCCAATGACGCTATTGATGTATATCATACTTGTTGTTCATCGGAGTGTAACTAGTAGACGCGCAGCCCATGTACCTTGTTCCGTTACGCGACCGAGGTCGGTCTCTCTTGCCTGCTTGTACTCCATTGGCGAATAGAGTTCGTGCATCGTGCCACTCTAACTTCATTCGACCTTCCCGAGATCCGCAGGATGCGTCGATTTGGCCACAGAGGTCCTTTGCTGGGCAGAAATGGTGACAGCGGGAATCTTCAGTCACCCCAGCTTCATCTCCTTTGCTTCATTATACTTCAACCGGAGCGCTACATTCACCGGCCAGCTTGACTGACGTCGATCTTCAGTTTGCACGGTATCCAACCTGTCTATCGGATCAGGTCCATCAACCAGCACAACCGAAACCCGTTGGCTTGCCCGGGACGCAGCCGGTTTAAGCTCCGCCTTCCTTGTTCAGTACTTCGATGACCAACCCCGTCAGGAACTAAGGCGACAGCAGCGTGCGGAGTGTACTGAGGGTTGGAAGCGCCGGTGTTCTATATCACACTGTGCGCTAATCAAGCTCGCGACGTTCCTGCATCTCGTACAACCGCCGCGAGAGCGGAGACTCTGGGTCTGGTCAGCCTCCGCCAGTCTCTTTTGTCCGGGCTTTCTGATGTCTATGCGGCCGCACCCGCAGCCGAAGCTAGGCGACCGCCCACCGTATCTTCGGCTCAGAACGCCCGGAATTTGAAGATGAGGAGGACACTCGACACCTTGTTCATTTCCCACCGACAAACCCTCGGAGATCTACTTAAGAGTGGCGGATCCGAATGCAGACGACCTTCAACCAGTGATGGTATCTGCTACAACCTGCCTTGTCTTCGTCGGCGCGTCTGCGCTGGCCGTGCGTCTTGTTCTCTCCATCTCTGCTCGCCGTGCGAAAAAGCGCGCCCTGCGTAAAGTGCCTGGACCCCCGAGTGCATCCTTCCTCACAGGTGAGACATTGCGTCTACTCAATCAACCCTCTTCATACTCAGACACAAATCAAATACAGGTAACTTGGCGGAGCTTAATGATGCGGAGGGCGTAGAGTTTCTCGAGCGCGTCCTCAAGGAGTACGGGCCCATCTCCAAGTTACACGGGATTGCTGGGGTACGCACGCCATTTTCATTCCATCAACTTCCCCTGTCGCTTAGCTCGCATCCACGCAGGACATCGTGCTCTGCACCTCCGACCCTCAAGCACTCTCGTACATTCTTCAGAAGGAGGCCGATAGCTTCTATGAAGTCGATCTGACCGGCACAACTGTGTACGCTCGTGACTAGCTCAATTCGACCAGCTCCTGACGCTTGCTCAGAATACTCGAGTACATGTTCGGTCCGGGATTAGTCTCGACAAACGGTATGTCAGATTCTACAAAGCTCGAGACGCCATGACTGACTGATTGACTTTGCAGGACCGCGTCATCGCCGGTACGCGTTTCACGTATCATTCATCCATATCACCAAGTCTAACACAATGACGACTGTAGTCAACGTAGGATGTTGAATCCACTGTTCTCTACCGCACACATGCGACGATCGGCGTCTCTTGTTCATTCTATCACGCTCAAGGTGTGTTCACGAACAAGCGTCGTTGGTACTTACACTAACATAACCGGCGCAGTATCGCGAGTACCTTCTCGCCGAAACGAAGAAGAGCGCGGGATCCGTCGACGTTGCACCCGGTCTTGCACGCCTGGCGCTTGAAGTCATCTCACAGGTATGTGAACATATATAACACGATGCGACAAACTCACGAAGTACGTTCAGGTAGGATTCGGACATAGCTTCCGTGCACTGGACGGGGGCTCGTCCGACTATATCCTCGCGTCGAAGGAGATCTTGTACGTAACTCGGCTTTTGAGCGTCTATACATAACTAACTGAATTAGACCGTCTATAACGGGCTTGGCGCCGTTCATCATGTGCGCTTATCATACTCTATGGCTCCAATACAGTTTACTGATCCTTTCGCGCGGCAGCCCTTTCGTTGCGTCAGGACTATCAAGCCTTCCTCCGACTTTGCTTCGCACCGCTGGCGCCGGTTTGGCAACCATCCTGCCTGCTTTGAAAAGTCTTATGCGCGGCGTCGACACGATCTTCTTGCACGCACGCAGGATCTGGGAGGCGAAGAAGGCCGCCTTTGCTTCGGGAGATGCTGTCTTGAAGGAATCAGTGACGCAAGGTGGCGACTTGCTGAGTGTGCTGCGTAAGTTCGCCATCACTCATCTGCGTCGCATTTCCTGATGGACCCTCTATCACAGTCAAAGAGAATGCGCTTGCAACAGGAGCGGACAAGCTTCCTGATGATGAACTTCTGGCGCAGTTGAAGTCGGTCTTTGCGCCTATCTGGACCTGTATGGTGAACTGACGTTGACTTTCTCTAGCACGCTCATCGTGGCTGGCGCAGAAAGTACCTCTACCGCCGTCTGCTGCATGCTCTATCATCTCGCGCTTGCTCCGAAGGTTCAAGATGATCTTCGCGCTGAGATCGTCCAAGCGGGCGAGGATCTCGGGTACGACGCCCTGATGAACCTGCCCCTTCTCGATGCAGTGTGCAGAGAGACCATGCGCAAACATGCATTCTTCCCTTACCGCAGCCGTCTGTACGTCGTACTTACCTTCGGTTCTTCTCACGGGGCGCTTACCTGTGATGATCATCTCAGGGCCGTGAAAGCGGCCGTTATCCCGTTCGCGAACGGAGAGACCCTCTACATTCCGGCGGGCACCGAGGTCGTTATGAGCAATCATGGTCTCAACGTCGATCCGGCTATCTGGGGTCCTGATGCTCACGAATGGCGGCCTGCGCGGTGGCTCGAGCCGCTGCCCGAGAGCGTCGTAGCCGCAAAGATTCCCGGCGTATACTCTAACTCGTACGTTATCAACTACTTAAACGCAACCCCGTACTTACCCGTCTCTAGCACGTCTTTCGGTTCTGGACCCAAATCGTGCATGTAAGTCACTGCTTCCTCTGAACGAACGTTGTGCGCTCATGCCACCTATAGCGGATACACTCTCGCGGTACTTGAAATGAGTATGTCTATCTCTTTTGACCGCTAGACGATCTCTTACCGATGTCTATGACCTGCAGAGAGCGCTCTCGCCGTCTTGCTCCCTTCGTTCGCCTTCGAGCTGCCGGCTGACCATGAGATCGTCTGGCGCTCTGGTATCACGCTCTCTCCCAGCGTCAAGGGCGAGAAAGGCTTCAATGCCACGATGCCAATGCAAGTCCGGCGTGTGGAGGGAGCTGCAACTTAATCCTAGCATTCTGAAGTGGAGTTTCGGTATCAACTATTTCTCAATTATACCCCACAGCTACCAATACCTACCTAGTGCCGTGCGCTTCTGGAGTAGTAGAATTTGACGTGAACAATGCCCATATGCCTGCCTTCTTCCTACAACTGGCCTGGGTGTGAACGAACATCTCACCGCTTAAGTGAACTGTGCGGCGCAACCGCGCTGCAACCGCGAGCTAGGCGTTCGTCTCCGCTCAACGCACACACGAATAACCTGGGACCCACAAGGCTCTGCAGGTCGCGCATGCCGCGGCGACGGAGATAATGCTGCCTTTCTTGCTTCCAGACCACCATGTTGCCTACCTACAAGATGTATCTTTCACATTGTGCACGCGTCCTGATGCTTGCTCGGGGGAGAAGATGCTCTGTATCACTCTGTATAGCTCTGGAGTACCTGAACCGGTAGCCGGTGCGCCTCGCGGTGGGAGTACCGCAAACTCTCCTACTGAAGCCGGTAGAGCCCGTCTTGACATTGTTCGGATTGACGACCTCGATTGCCATAGCTGTATGTGGATCAAGATATCCAAGGGAAGACGCAAGGATGCTTGTCTCTGTACGGTACGCTGGAATTGTCCCTAATGTTTTCCAAGCTTCCTGATATGCCCGCAGCTCACAATGCCGTCGGCAATAGTACACTTCAAGGGCTTCGAGACGTCTGCGTCATCCTCCTTCATCCTTGCACCCGGCTCAGTCCCGTATGAGAGCCCGGTCTGTCCGTCGTCGATGATCTTTACGAGGAGCAGCACATCGTGGCGTCTATTCGAATTTTCGGAACCTTATCTCCGTTCAACTTGCCCTCCCGCTGCGCCTACGCCACCACATGGAAAACTTCTGACCGGTCTGGCCGGGTGAAGGCGTCTCATAAACGAGTTCTAGTGGGAGGTTGAGCGCTGATGATCACCTCCGCTCGATACCTCCCCCGCCGATCTTTGGCATGAGCAACTCGTCATGCATCATGCATTGTTGATTTCTGCACGGACGGACCAGTGTGCGCATATATCTTCAAGATTTCATCCGACTCCAACCCGCACGCTCCCTGCTGCGCCGTCAATGACGGGTTAGTCGTGGACCACCGCCGAGGACCCATGCTGCAGGCATAACGTCCGGGGAATCGATAAACCTATCACCGCGTTGGACGAGAGGTCTGATGTTCGATGGCGCACCAGCTACCCGTCACTAACCTGCAAAATACGTGCATGCTCTCCGTCCTCTCGTGCCAGTCCAGAAGATGACGAGTGGCATAAGATTCGACACGTTTTTCTACGCGTGGTGCTACCCGGTACGAAAGTATCAGGTAAATCAGACGAGCCGCCGTCCGTGGGCGATATAAATATGGGAGCGGATTATGGCTCGCTTGCAGACCGCCTGGCGTAGATATGATCTCGCCCACTATACTTTTCTCGCTTGCCTGCACCGTAGTCCTCGCTATACGGGTTGCTAAGGCTGCCGCCGGTCGATATGCGCGATACGAAGCTCTCCGCGGCTTGAGCGGCCCTGCAAGCGCATCACTTCTCACAGGTATGTCGGCCAACGACTCGCGTTCGCACGTCCTCTGACGAGTCTATCGCAGGTAACCTTGCCCAGATAGCGGACACGACCGGGATGAAGTACTTGTGTCGTCTCCTGGCAGAGTACGGAAGCGTGGCGAGGGTGCATGGTATCTGTGGCGTGAGTAAGAAGCAATTATGCAACATCACCCGGCGCTGATACAGGCCCGCATCAGGACACTGCGCTTCTCCTCACCGACCCTACCGCTCTGGGACACATACTCGTCAAGGATCCGGACAACTTTCCTGAAGTTGACTTCACGGGCTCTACTCAGTAAGCACCATCTGGGCGCTACAAGGACCACGTTTAACTATATCCAGCCTGCTTCACTTCATGTTCGGACCGGGGCTAGTTCCTACCAATGGTAATGTCTTATGACAATCGTCTTGAAGCGGCCCGCGAGCTTACACCGCATCCGACAGGTCCAAGACACCGGAGGTACGTAGAAGCCAAAAACCCAGCGCACTTCTAGTGAACCCTCCATACAGGCAACGCAAGCTTCTCAATCCCCTGTTCTCAACGAGCCATATGCGGCGGGCGACGCCCCTTGTCCGCTCTCTGACACAGCAAGTGAGCGCCGGCACGCCAGTGAGGTCTTCCCTGGTACTAACTCGTGCAGTACACGGACAAACTTATGGCTCAGGCTCGAACGGCCACGGGAGACGTCGACGTAGCCCCAGGATTCGCAGGCTTAGCTCTCGAAGTAATCACCCAATTCGGCTTCCAACATACTTTCAACGCGCTCGAAGGGAAGGCCAATGACTATATCTGCGCGGCGAAGGAGATCCTGTACGTCCTTCGCAACTTCGTCTGAGGAACCGCGCACATACTCACGCTTGTATGTACTTAGTCCCGCCATCACGAGCCTTGCACCTTGGATGATAGTCTTCGTAGGCTCAGGACTAGCCAGCTTGCCGCCCAGACTACTCCGCGTGGCCGGAGACGCTGTGGCACCGTTTGTCCCACCGCTGCGCACGCTGATGCGCTGCGTTGATGTAATGCACTTCTCGGCGCTCGATATCTGGGAGGATAAGAAGGCTTCGCTCGCTGAAGGCGACACCTTGTTGAACGAGTCTGTCCGAGAGGAGGCCGACCTGTTGAGCGTACTGCGTGCGTTCATCTCTTGTTACAACATGGCCTTCATCTTGACGCTGACGACACTTTCTCTGACAGTCAAAGCACACGCCGAGGGCAAGGGAAAGAAGGTGATCCCCGATGATGAGCTGCTTTCGCACGTCAAGTCAGTCCTCCGCACCTTACTACATCGAATCACCGTATACTTACTCCGCTTGTAGTACGCTCATCGACGCCGGCGCAGAGAGCACTTCGACAGTCATCTGCCGCACACTCTACCAGCTTGCGCTTAATCCCGATGTCCAGGAACGCCTGCGTGCCGAGATCTTGCAGGCGGGCCGGGATCTCGACTACGACACCCTGAACGCCCTCCCGCTTCTCGATGCAGTCTGCAAAGAGACCAACCGCGAACACACCTTCTTCCCTTACCGAAGTCGCCAGTGCGTCATCCGTATCGCGCCTGCTTCTCCCTCAGATCGAACTGATCGCCCTTTCGGACCCACAGGGCTACACACGAGACGGTCATTCCTCTGTCGAAGGGCGAATCCCTCCACGTTCCGGCCGGGACGATGGTGTTGATGAACTGTCACGGGCTGAACACTGATCCTGCACTTTGGGGGCCCGATGCACACGTTTGGCGCCCGGATCGATGGCTCGAGCCCATCCCCGCTGCTGTCGTGGACGCGAAGATTCCTGGGATCTACACCCATTCGTGCGTCACCCCTCATATCTTCGATACGTCTACTGATGGGTGTCCAGGATGTCCTTCTTGAGTGGACCCAAAGCGTGCATGTGAGTGCCTTCCCTCCTGGATCCGTATAACCTGGTTTTCACCATCTCGACTTAGCGGTTACACCTTGGCCATCCTCGAAATGAGTACGTCCTTGGCTTGAGACGTACCATCCGGACGTGAACTCACGTTCTCTTGTTCGCAGAAACGGCGCTCGCGGTATTGCTGCCGGCAATGAGCTTCGCGCCTCCCAAGCAACACGAGATCATCTGGCGCTCCGGAGTGACCGTCTCGCCGAGCGTGAAGGGAGTGCACACCTTCCTACCGACAATGCCTTTGCAGGTCACGCTCTTAGACGCTGAGTCGGCCTGAAAGAGTGTCCTGAAGATTCTACGAGCCTCAGATCCGGATGTTAAAATACGAAAGATGTATGCACGTTTCGATTGCCATGTTGTTGTATTCACCTACTTGTACGAACCTTGTACTCTGCCCTGACATTGATATGCACATCCCTACTACGACCTTATCACGAGCTCTCTTTTCTGGGGCTCGAAAGAGACACAGCTTAAGGTCGCGCTCAGCGCGGCCAAACGAACCCATTCGTGGCACGTGCCTGGCATGTGATGGTGGTCGCGCGGATTTTGTTCCAGCGCGCCGCGTGATTTTGCTTCAAAGCTCGGTTGTTGCCGGTCGTGGGATGAAGACGCGCTTTCTTTTGCTCCAACACGACGCGTGATCGCAAGTTCGGTTGTTGCCGGGCGTGGCCCAGAGACGTGCTCTTCTTCTTTTGTTCCAACGCGGCACGTGATTGTTGTACTTCTGGTCGACCGAGCCAGGCGCTCGCGCCGGAGATCCTTCTCAAGTTTGTTCTGCCGCGTCGCGGGGGGGACTAAAGCTGCTGGAGGACTTACACTGACTGTAAACTGGGACCCCAACCGCTTCCCGGCAGCACAGGGTCCGGCACTGTGAGGCTCAATCTTCCAAACCTCGCCCCATCGCTGACTCTGCGTAGGCAGATCTCGTCTGCATCACTCGGCTGGCCGCTGCGTTCCCAATCTATAATATCGATTTCGTTAACTTATGGACGGCATTCGAGTGTCCCGGCTTGCACCGGTTCTGCCTGGTTCTGCATGTCTTTCGGCATGGCGCCGGCGAACCTTCCGACCGTTCAGCGGGTGATGGCTTCACTCAAGGGCTCCCGCCTGTCTCTAAACCACCTCGTCCTCGTCAATGCCATGACGAACGGACCCGATGCTGTGCAACCGGTGTCCCTTCCAGCCCTGCGACGATAGTGCTCGGACGAATATCTTGCCGTCCTGCGAAGAGGCTGCAGCTTGTCCCGGATTCACAGCCCACTGCGCAGGAGGGATTCTGCGTGTCGACGAGCCCTTAACGCAGATGTGGCGAGGACGCTCGCCTGTAACCACGGCATTCGACCGTATCAGCACGCTCCTGGCTTTCTACTCTTGATGCCATAGCGTATTTCGATCGCTGCGACACCCTCGTATTCTCACCCCAAGATCCGCTTGCTGTGGTCCCTCTACCCCAGCTCTCGGGACAGCGCGCGGAGCAGCTGCGACGTTTGTGGGCCGCTTCTTTGCGGAATGGACGAATTGGAGCACGTGCGTCAGTGGAAGCGTCGGGCCATAAGGGCAAGTTCAGCTCACTGAAGTTGTATCCGAGGCGGATATGGACGTGGATTGTGTGGCCTATACTCGACTCTCTCAATCTGGGCAATCTGGTAAGCCAGATATCGCTTGAATAAGTTGACCGAGTGTGCTGACCTTACGCGCCCAAGACACAGGGAGACCGGCTACCGCACATCACCTGGTGTCCTACTGGTGCTCTCGCACAGCTGCCATTGCACGCAGCCGGCATATACGACGAGCCATACGGCCTGTACACGTATGATCTTGTGGTGTCCTCGTACATCCCCTCGCTCTCAACATTCGGACATGCTCATGGGGTGTCTTCTGAGTCGCGTCCAGCCCATGGAGCGCTGATAGTCACCCAACCCTCCACTCCCAACCTGTCATCGCTCCCCGGCACGGTCGAAGAAGGTACTCGACTCCGAGAGATCCTGGAGACATCCGGAGTGAAGACGATCTGGCTGAACGACCGCTCTGCGACCGTCAACGAAGTCCGCACGGCGATGAAGGAGCATCCCTGGGTACATCTCGCCTGCCACGGCTCACAGAAAACCGGGGATGCAACACGCAGTGCTTTCCACCTCTTCGACGGCGTCCTCACACTATCCGACCTCATGGGCATCGTTGCCGATGATGCAGAGCTTGCATTTCTTTCCGCATGTGAGACCGCTGTATGCGACAAAAAGACACCAGAAGAGTCGGCGCACTTTGGGGCCGGGATGCTCGCGGTTGGGTACAAGGGCGTCATCGTGACCATGTGGTCAATCCAGGACGCGGACACGCCCGTCGTGGTCGACGCGTGCTACAAGGACCTGCTGGCGTTGAGAAGCGGAGGCAAGCTCGGGCAAGGGGAGACAGGTGCAGCGTATGCGCTGCATGAGGCGACGAGGGTCCTGCGAGAGAAGATGGGGGAGAGCAACTTGTTGCGCTGGGTTCCGTTTGTCCATTTCGGCGTGTAGTCGGATGCTGGCGCTTCTGTTCGCGTTCGGTCAATCTCAATATATGACGTCGGATTCTAGTACGCGTTGATGTAGGCTGCAAGATTGTGTTGTTATGGACCTCGAACCTCCGTCAGGTACAAAAGGGCCCGGTAGGCGGTTGAAGCTAGAGCAGGCACTGTGTTCTCGTGCTTGACTTATCTCGGCTTCGAAAAAATTGTATTATATTGATGCAGTCCGAGCAGTCCGACGGCGTGATGACGAAGAAAGGTGGTCGTAGTAGAGGACAAGTCGCGCTAAGCGTAGCTCCTGTATGTACGACGCGCGAATTGACTAACCGAATTACGAACCGACGTCCAATGTTTCACGCATCTTGTCATTGATTTCTCACCATCATCATCATCCCAGCATGTCTGCACGGCTTGTCGCATTCACCGGCGCGATCACAGCGCCAACGGGCGTGCTATTTTCACCTTGATACTTATGAGATGAAAGATGCGAAAGAAGGTCGTCATCTATAACGAGCATGAATCTGGATGAAGATGACAGCACACATATGCACACCTTGAATACAGGGACGCCGTTCTCGCGTTATCGCCGAATTGTAATGAAATCGGCTGAGCAGATGCCATCGCGACGTGTGGTTCAAGCTACAAGGTGCAAGTTAGATGGCATCATTGAGGGAAAACCGTTGAAGGTACGTACCAAGTCAACTTATACACTGAGTGGTGTTTCTGCGGCTTGACGTACTACGATGAACTAGAAGACAACGAAATACTACTCAAGCGAGATGGGTAATGGATCCACTCCGACGTCGCTAGATACCATTTCGATCGGTCTACGGATTTTCGACCGTCCGAGTTGTAGAAGGCCAAGCGGCACATGAAAGTTCAAACGTTGAACTTTGAACAAATGGAGACCCGAGCGGTCTCCACCTGCTCAGTATCTTCGGGACAACGTGGATCGGCATGAGCATAGGTATCGCGTAGATGAAACCGACAGCGAGGTAAGTTTGGGATGGGCGCGCACTGGACGAGACGATAGCGCGTCTACGTGCTTGATCGGGGGTGCAAAGCGAGCGAAGTGCCGTAGGGTTAGCTGTAAGAAGGCCACGGTATTCATGACTCCAGGTTCACGCCTTGCGATACCTCAGTAATTAGAAGGTCATCGTCATTGCTGCAAGTCGTGGTGGTAATGGGGTAAGCGTCGAAGATTAGCCCGCAGGCGTGGAAGAGCGTGGAAGCCGGGTGGCACACGCGGCCCACCCTTGCGTACGGCAAACGTACGGCGCCGGTCTTTCCTCACAACCATGACGCGCCATCCCTCTCTCGACCTTCAGCGCCCTCGCCAGCCTTCACAAGGCAACATGCACGAAATCACGAATTTACTAGCTGGGAACGTCAAGCTTGCTCGAATACGACGACCGAGGCCATCGCGCTCTATTTGGAGGATGCAGAGAGGATAGGGCCGCCGCCACCTCTCCACCCGCAAGCGAGGGACACCCAACGTCAATAGCACTACTCGTGCAACGCCTTGGCTCCACTCTCTCCACACACCTGGAGGGATTCGCTGTCTACAACGGGCTCAGCGGCAAAGAGCGCGCCGGTTTTGTTCATTCGCGAGCAAATGGGCACGCCAAGAGCCACTCGGCTGAAGGCGTCGCAATGCAGTTCTTCAACATGCATTCATGCACCCAAATCGTATGCCAGTGCTAGAACCTTGGCCCTGCAGCCCGAGAACGTCACTCGTTCTACACGTCGCCGACATACGGACGCACCCAACAAGCTTCGACACAGCCCAGGCGAGGGATGCGACGGGCGGTGCATGTGCACCAATCGGAGATGATTTTGGGTATCTGAAATGTCTGCGGACGAAGTGCAGCTGGAGGGACTGGAGCTGTGGATTCCACGAATATGGGGTGATCCGAGGAGGAACCTCCAGACACAGACAAGAGCATATTGCGCGAGCGCATTCAAAACGATAACGCGGGTACGATCATCTCGGTTCGCTCGATTTGAAGTCTTGTTCACAATGTCCACTATTGCAGATATACTCAGAATGACCAAGCCGACACTATCGGCAACCCTATCACGCCCAGTAGCTGTGTGTACCCTGAGGCGACTCTGGTCAACTTCTCCCAAGGCGGTTACCCTGCAGGCGACAGTCGCGTCCGGATGTATCCGGGGATGCGGCGCATTCTTTCAGAGCACATGTGCTGCTTGGAGATCGAGCAAGGAACGACGAGTCTCCGTGACAAGCTCGCTGCGAGCGAGCCGGGCTTAGAAAACCCCCTCAATGTGCGTTGGAGTCGCGATACCGGACCTGAGGGATCCGTGAGACCCACCTCCGACAGTCACTTGGAAATGTGGATGCGAGAGGATGCCCAGGCGTATGACAATAGCATGTGCCGCGAGGGACCTAGAACGTCACCGGACGTGCTCAACTCGGACGTGCGGCGAATAGTTCACTTGCGACTACGACATGCGCTCGTATGAGCTCGGTCCTGGTTGTTCGTCCCTCGACATCATGAAAGCGGCTGGTCTTGCACCTATCGTTCATAACATGTTGTTGTCACCGGGAGGTGACTGTTACCAGTCCCAATCCAGCCAGCACAGGAGGGTCGATTGCAACGCTGGCCCGCGGCATCACGATAGAGGGTAACGAGAAGAACATCGGTGGTGTAGACATGGATAGGAGGAGCTCGCACTGCCGCAGCGATAACGCACGGCGGGTGGAGCACGTTGATACATAGCGTGTTGATGCGTGGACTACAGCGCTCACGCATGCTTTGGACGAATATGCGTCTTTCTCAACCTGTTGAATCCGTACATTTGTGTTCACAATCTTCGCTTGAAGGTCACTGTAGCCGCTACTATACCCCGGTATGCTCCCGATCTAC